ACACAACGTTGACGACTCTTATCGGCAAGCTGCATGCGGCACTGCTTGCGTTTTCCTCTACCGTTGCCACTTGCTACATCTTTTAGTTATGATGCTGCTGCGACAATTTTTGCCTCTGGCACAAATATGGCTTTAATAAATGCGCGCGCCCCGCGTGCATTTTCCTGTTGGTCTGCAAACTGACCTTAAAGTTTGCTCAAAAAGCTAAGAATCTAGGTAAACTATTTTAGGCCATTTATTTAAAATATATATATACTTTAGTGTGTGAATTACGATTTATTTCTATAAATATGCATATATTCTAGAAATTTCTTTGAAAATATGCCTATCTTTATCAAAGCTGCTTTAGGTTCGAACCCGCAACAGCTCGTTTAGTTTATTGAGGGCCTACAAATTTTTAAATTAATCAAAATGCTAAATATAAAAATTTATTTAGTTAAGCAAAACGCCCCTAATCTCGCTTGAGGGTTGAACCCGGAACTGCTCGTCCAATTTCGAAAGCCTAAATATTCGAAAATTTATAAATGCAAATGCAAATAACAGAAATTTCCCATAAATCTTCTTTATCAATGCAATTTTAACAAGTGCTTTTGGCAAATTTTGTAATATTTCGCCATATATGTTAGTTTTGCAACAATAAAGCTCAACTGCAGCGCAAATATGATTTGTATGCAACTAGTAGAAATAAAATTGACATATTTGTCAATAAATTCCAAAAATTTTAATTAATTTTCGCGCGCCACTTAAAAGGCAGCCGCCAGCCAGCCACTGCATTGTACAAACAGAGGTGAAGGACTCCCACTTCTGCTTTTCGGCAATGCCCATTTCAAATGGGAAATGTTCAGAGACCGCAAACACTAAATTGCAAATAAATTTGTTTAAATATGCAATGGTAAAGCGTCAAGTGTGTGTGTTCGACTGGCAATGCTAGAGGGATAGTAGGAGGAAGAGAGAGAGAGAGAGAGAGAGTGAGAGAGGTAGGGGAGAAGTAGCTGCGACAAGAGACAACGACAACGTGCGCATCAAATTTTAATAGGAAAACCCCAAAAAGTTGCAAGCCACAAAGTCCATTTCCATGGCGCCCCTCTAACCTCATGGCACCCGCTCCCCCTGCTGCTGTTGCAATTGCTGTTGGCTCTCGACATGCCTGATGTACGCTTTTTGGTTTTGGCCACGAAGATGTTGCATTGACATTGAATATTGATGAAAATAAATCGAATTTCCGCCAGGCAGCCCATAGTCCATGGCCAAAGCCGGACGAGACGATGGATCTGGTTGCCAAAAACGAAAAAAAAGCGAAAAAATGGCAAACCGAAAAACGAAAAAAAAACCTTGCAAAAACTGTAGAATATCTTCATATGTATAGCTCCGTGTCTGTTTATATTGATTGCCAAAATGGTTTGAGCCGGCAAAAAGGGTTCCGGCTGAATACAGTATCTGCTTGAGTGTCAAAATGTGTGCGGAGCGTTACGAGACATTTGCGGTCTTAGTGATTCAAAGTTTTGGCCAGAAGACAAATGAATGACGTTCGATATGGTTATAAGTCTGGAACGTGTTTGAGGAAAAAACATCGGTTGGTGATTGGAATATTATTTTAAATTTTCTCATGGAACAGTCTATGGGGCTTGAGTATAAGAGAGGGAGAGAGAGGAGGAGGAGGAAGAGGTGGAGGAGGAGGAAAGAGGGAGAGAGAGAGAGTATAAGAGAGTATGAGTTTAAGAGAGATCTTAATTCCAGGCCCTAACTTTCACAAGATATTTATTTTGAGTAAAGTTAAGGTTAATTACACAATTAAATAAATCTTTCCATAAATTGCCTGCTTATAGCAGGCTATAACTTTCACAAGAGATTTCAATTGAGTTATATATAAGTTGAGCTATATTAAAACAAATAAATAAATCCAATGGAAAAATGGTCGATGAATATAAGATAAGATAAGCTATATTTAAAACATGAAATAAATCTTTCAAGAGATATACTATGATTACTTACACCAGATATTTCTTTGGAGTAAAAGATAAGTTAAGCTAAGTTAAATTAACAATAATAACAATCAACATACATGCTTTGAGTATAAAAGAACTTGTCTTAATGATAGGCCTTAACTTTCCCAGATTTTTATTTTTAATTTCTGCCATGAAGCAGCTACTCGATAATCAATGTGTAACATTTAAAGAGAACTTATGAGTCCTATAAGAGCTCTATACATAATTTTATGATTTTTTAAACCGTTTCGCATACAGCTTTTTAAGCCCCGTTTTTACCCCCTAGACTACCGCGCTGAAATTGCCCATTGATGTTGGGCATGAAGCGCCGCAGTTAACACTTGATTTGTATTTAAAAATTATTGACCAATTCATGGCTGCTGATTAATTTTGTGTTTGTGCTTGTACAGCGGTGATGGGGGGTGGTGGCGGAGGGTGGAGATGTTGCTTGAGGCAGGTCGGGGAAAGTACGTTTCCACATTGGCAACCGATTGATTTTTGCAGCCAAAAGGCTGCTGCGAGGACCACTGGAAATTGCATAAACGCCACACCACTGCGGCCCATATGAAAATCCAATTTTCCAGTGATTGATCATACACACACAAAGTGGCATGAAGGGCGAGTTGACTGTGGCGGGAGGTAGTTAACCGCACACAAGCACACACACACACACACACACACACACATGGACACACGTCAAGTTGGTTTGTCTGCAGGACTATACGCAAAAATAATGTAATTAAAGCAATGTTTGCATAATAAAAATTAATATTTGTTGCATTTTGTGTCAGAGGACATAAAACACACACGAACAACAAACAATACACACACATGTACACACACACACACACACACGGATACACTAAAAGTCCACGCGATGGGCAATGCATTTATAGCCACGCCCACCTCTTTTACCTGTTTACCTAGGCGGCAGCACAGTTGTCTGCAGGCCGCTTTATGCGGGCTGTCAAATTCAGACAGTTTGCACACATGATGTTCACCCCCCCACCCCCCTTGCCAACCACTCCCACTGCCGATTAAAACACCCCAGCTTCAAAAACCAAACCCACAGATTTGCTGCTGCTTTTGCTCCTGGTGTCCAGCCCTTCTGTTTGTTCAAGTTTCGTTTCAGCAAATTATGTTCCAGCATATGGAGGGGATTTACACTGAACAGCACTGAAAATACACTGGCAACACTGGCAACACTGACAACACTGGCAACTGAGTGTTGTCTGGCGTCGTATAGAGTCTCTGGACTGTTGCATTCGACGTTATGCAAATATTGAAATAAGTCTTAATTGAATACAAATACTCAATTACATTGCGGCACATCTATTTTGTGGGCCCAGCACAAACAGTTTCCCATACACAAAAAAAAGCAACTCTTCTTCTTTTCCGTTGGGTAATTGTTCCACACTTTTACTTTATAATTTCAATTTTGTTTATGGCCATAAGTGTTGTCGGTCTTTAGACAGCCTCCCTTCTAAATCAACCAAGCAAAATGGTTATGGTAATCTGTGTGAGAGCATGGCAAAAGGGTTAAGGATTAGTCTGTCGTATTATGTATGCGGGCTGTGTGATGGATGAAACGAGACCTTGGGCAAATATTTCGAAACAAGGAAGAGGCAATAGACTTTGCTTTATTAAGCTGCATGCTAAAAGCGTTTAAACAAAATAATATGCATGCAGAATTAAGCTTAAAGTACGTATTAGCACGCAAAATTTGCTAGTTAAGGTGTATTTACTAAATGCATGAATTTTTTGCTTAAACGTTAGTCATTAGTTTTAATGTATCATAAATAATTGGGTTTAGTTAAAGTGTGCACAAAAATATTGTTATTTATTTATTAAAATTTCCGGTATTTATATCTTGAAAAAAATGAGTAAATTATAAATAATTTTCATATTAAAAATAAAAAAAAGTTGGTTATGGCCCATGGGGGGATCGAACCCGCGACCTTCGCGTTATTAGCACGACGCTCTAACCAGCTGAGCTAATGGGCCGACGTGACACGAGGATGTTTAGAGAGCTATTCGAAATAAATGTAACCAATTATAAAGAATCCAAATAAGAATTTTATATGCGTATATGCTATAATTATCTCTAGTGTGATAAGATTGTTTAAATTTGTTTTATATTATTGATTTATTTTTGGCTTATCTAATTGATTTCTGTGTAGGTTAATGTCTATTTATGCATCTATGAATAATTACTCAATGCCATTTATATGAGTCGATGAATGAGTGAAGCTACATGAATAGATAAATCATTTACACTTTTATTGCATTTGAAAATTGTCGCAAATTCTTTAAAATTAAGCCCCATCTCGAAAACTTCCATGACAAAAACTAGACTAAGCTTTACTTTCAGCTAAGCTGAAAGCTAGTCTCATATCATTTACGCAATTTTCGCTGCATTTTCCATGATGCTTGGGGAGCACAAGGACTCAATACACGCTTTATCCATTGTTCCCTCATGAGATGCATCTTGAAGGCTATGCACTAACCGAAACACACACAGAGGGACCCCAACCAAGCAACACATTTGACACTTCATTAAAAAGCAACATTAGCAAAATCAATTAGACAGTATTCCCCAAGCCCAGGACAACAGTGGCGCACATAACCAGCAAAAGCAAATAGAGATGGATAGATACATGAACACACAAACACACAGAGCAGTGGATAGATATCTAGATACGTAGATAAATGGGGAGTTTCAGTAACTGTGTTGTTTTTGGGCTAGCGCAAACAATTGAGAATACGGCGAGCTATACGCATTGTATTTGTTGTTGGTTCAACCAACTCACAAATTGTTTGAGAATCGGACGAGACAAGAGAAGCGAGACACGAGAATGGAGAATGGAGAATGGAGAATGGAGAATGAGCAGGAGTTGAGCTGAGACTTTGTTTGCATTTTGAATTGCCGGCGCCGATATTTGCACTGGTAAATCGCCAGACGGCAGCTCGTTAAAATGGTGAAAATTAATTAAAAACGTGTTTGTTCGATATTTGTTTTATGGAAAACAACCTGCGTTTACTTTTCTCTTCATATACACAAATATATTAATCTAGTTAGGGGAACAGTTTTTGATCACTTTGGCAAGCCAATTTCGAATATAATCTGATGTCTGCAGTCCAACCAAACGATTAAGCACCTTACCATTGTGCATGACGAGAAGTGACGGCACCGAACCGACGTTATAATCCAGGGCCAAATCGGTAAATTCATCGATATCGACGCGGGCCATACGTAGGCGGCCCCGCTGCTCCGATATTATGTTTGCGAGGCGAGGAGTGAGCGCTTTGCAAGGCGTGCACCAACTATAGATGGATTAAGGATGTTTTAGCTTTGCGAAATTCATCGATGGTCAATCTGTATCCAATAACGCATTTACCTGGCATGAAAATCTACCAATACTGGCAACTTGGAGCCCTTTACCTTCTTCTCGAATTCTTTCAGGTTAGCTATATCAAATATGGCCCGCTTTGACGGTGAATTACGATAGCTTCTGCTTAGCAAATGTTTTAAAAGTCTCAACTGTATCGAGTTCATTTTTGCCGACATTTTTATAAATTTTGATTTGAACTGTTTTTTGTTCTGATCTAAAGCGTTGTCCAACAAATAATGAGAAGCATAACTAACAAAGTACAACTCCTAGGCAGGTTGCTATGACTTACTTCTTACAGCCTACTATAAGGGGAAATGGAAATTTGTACAGATTCTAGAGTTTATTTACGGATCCTAATAAAATTAAAGGCTAAGCAGACTTAATGCTAGTTACCGAAGCAAATAGTTTGGAAATAATTTATGATGTTCTTGGAGCTTTATTTATGGGAAACTCAAGCGCCCAATAAATGTTACAGAATGGGCTTTCAGGGAAAAGCGCGATTCTTATAGAAGCATTGGTAGATCTGGAAACCGGTGTCGCAATTGTTCGCACCTTTGATGGAATCACAGGCACTTAGAGCGGCCTTCACTTGACTAGCTCCGGCAACGTCTGTCAGCTTTTGCTGTACTACAGCGGGCATAAGCTGGCCATCGACTATGAAGCCGGCCTTTTCCAAGAAACAGTTGGCAAAACACTTGATCCTCTCATCGGTATCGTCAAAGTTGCCATTGCGCAGTGCCATTGCCTGCTCCTTGGTGTTGCCCTCCTGCTGGGTGCATTCGTTGGCATGCTGCCGTATTATTGCTTTGTGCTCCTCAGTTATCTGAGTCAATTGACAGAATCGTCAGGGCTTACGCATCAATTAACATTAACTCTGATACTCACATCAGCTGCCAGGGCCAAAGTCACCAAGCTGAGCAAAGTTATCATGAATTTCATTTTTAGCGAATATATTTTATATTTTATATATGGTGTATATAGTTAATACTCGCAGCACTTTGGTATTCGTTCTGTTGACTGGGCTTACGCTGCGCTCCACTTTTATATGATTTTTGCAGTTATTAATCGAGTTGTTTTTGTTCGTTCAAAAAACTTTTAATGCAAGTGCTGCATTTTTTTTAACTTTATCTTTTGACAATGTAATTGTAAAAATGATGATGATTTTTAATGTATGTTATGTATTTTTTTTATTAATTGTTTCCTGAAACTAAACTACTCTGTATTTTAAATAATTCTAGTTTTTTTCTATATTCATTAATTTGTTTACTCGAATACATAAAATACAGTTTGTAATTTGCTGTAAAATGCGGCACTGGGTCAATTCGATGAGGGCGATATTTAATAAAAACCGAGAAAGTAAGAATAAGAATTAATGCCTTGTAGACATTTGCCTTGCGGCTTTGCAGATAAGTGAGAAAAATAAAGCCCATTAATGTTAAGTTTAATCAGATTATCTTGGAAATCAGAATGTTTGCCTTACAACATCCAACTTTTCCTATGGCTGTTATATGACGTTGTTCGGATTTTGCATATATGTAAGGAGCATAGTGAAACTTAGAGTTTGGTCACTATGTTTTGATAAACAATGGAGTTTTCCAGACAAGTATCTGCTTTTCGACCTTTTCCCATAGCAGATATATGATATAGATGTCAGTGTCAACTGTCCAAATAAATTATAACGAGAAAGAAGGGCTATCTTTGGCACGCCGAAGATCTAGATCTAGACCCAGCCTTTTCATAATGCTTATAGTGCTTTGCCCGTATCTAAGAAGCACAGGGAAAATAGTTAATGCCGAGCTTGGGCAAGATATCTTGATAAACAAAATGTTTTTTCATACAACTTAATTTTCGACCGATCGTTCCTATGGCAGCTATATGAAATAGTGGTCCGATCTTTATGGGATTTTGCATATATATGAGGAGTAAAGTAAAACTAATAAATGCCGAGTTTGGTCAAGATATCTTGAAAAACAAAATGTTTTTTATACAAAAACTTAATTTTCGACCGAACGTTCCTATGGCAGCTATATGATATAGTGATCCGATCCAGCTGGTTTTCACATATGTGCTACGTGCAACAGAAAGAGGGACTTCTGCAAAATTTCATTAAGATAGCTTTAAAACTGAGAGGCTAGTTCGCATAGAAACAGACAGACGGACAGACGGACATGGCTCTATCGACTCGGCTGTTGATGCTGATCAAGAATATATATACTTTATGGGGTCGGACATGTCTCCTTCTATGCGTTACACATTTCACGACAAAATTATAATACCCTCTGCAAGGGTATAAACATGTGTTGTTTCATTGATATCATGTATAGCTTATTATTAGGTATACATGAATAAATAAAGGTACTTCATATAAAGGTTTTAATTATATAAAATGCAATTCAAAGTTATTATACATTTTAAATGGTCAAAAAATGTGGTATAGTTAACCTAAATATGTGATATAACTATCTTTAAAAGTGTATATTCATCTAATAAATAACAAAACAGATATTTGAAAATAAAGTAAATTATAAGAGAGTGTGAGTGGGGCTACTCTACACCTCTCTTCAGGGCATCTTACATTTGCAGAGACTTCACAGAAGAAGTGTCTACAAGCTTCCGAAATTCTCATATATTTTAAGTATGCATGAAGATATATTATAACTATCATTAAAAGCGCAGAATAATTGGGTAAACAATATTAAAGAATATTTGTTTTTATTTGTTGTAGGAGAGCAACAGTTTAGCTGTTTGCAGACTAGGTGAATGTGCTTAGGGCTGATCTAGACCTGTCTGCAGAGTATCTTCTAGTAGGATAGTCTTTCTACAGGCACCTGTCTGCAGCAATAGGGAAGTTATTTAAGAATATATTTTTAGTTGGAAGATAATTAGAGTCTAAGCGAATATGTCTAGACATATCTGCAGGTCATCTTCTAGTAGGATAATCTCTCGACAGACACGTATCCTCAGGGTATCTTTCAGTTGACATGTTCCTGTCTGCAGGGCATCTTCTAGTTGCATAGTTTCTCTTAAAAAGTTGCCCAAAAATCCAGGCTAATCATGCGACCTAGTTGCCAAAGCTCCAATGAGATTGCTTTAAATTTGTTTGCCTTGGTCAGCAGCTACTGATGCCTATGCCCACGTCCGCCCAACCGTTTACCATATATATTCTGTATATATATATTTGGGTCACATTAGATCGCATGCGGCTGATAACATTAGGCAGGCATTTTCTTCATTTGGCCATGTTTACTTGCTCAAATGAATGATGAGCTTTCTCTCTCGGCCTGTGTGTGTGTGTGTGTGTGTGTGTTGTCTAAACATTTTTATGATTCAGGGTTAGAGATGGAGGATATGCCGCTGTCATTCAGCAGGGCTTTACATAATCTACACTGCTCAAGGAGCAGCAGCCTTTCAGCAATTAGTTTTCCACATCCAATGTGCTAGGCTGATAAGTAGCCAAGTTTTGCAAAGAACGTTTGCTTTTGGCCCACCCAACTGATGGGTTGATTGACAAGCGCGTGACAAGTGGGTTGTGGTTTAGTTGAGTCTGCCAAAGACAGCACAAATTTAATGGCATATAAGCAAAATATAGCTGGACAAGCATATATATAAGTTTTAGAGTTGATCGAATATATACATAGAATAATATACACCTAGGTTTAACAGCCTATGCAGAGGCATAACATAAAATATTTGCATGCTGATAAGAGATTTATATTTGTTATCATTTCTAAATTGTTACGAAATTAAATGAGTTTTTCACACACAATCATATAGCATTAAATATACATATAATTTCTATAGTAGATTGAAACACAGGGGCGTTGTTTAAAGCCAGTTAGTGGGGGGCGCAAATGTAATTAAAAAACTTTGCAACCGCATCAACATAAATGTATGGCGCATAAAATTCTGTGCATTTGACAATTTTTGGTTGGCAAAAAGTTGACATTTTCTCGCTGTAAGTGTGTGTGTGTGTGTATATATGTGCGTGGGCGTCACAAAAACCGCTAAAACGTTGGGCGTGACGCATTGTGTTTTGCCAGCTTGAAGCTAAATTAAATGAGTGAAAAGTTATTATTGTTCATAAACAAATGTTGGCTGCTATTCATCGATGAGCGGGCGGTCATTAAATGTGTTAAATGCTTTTACGAGCACCAACCCCCCCCCCCTCGCAACACCCCCTTCACACCCACTATTTTATTTATTTTTGTTGCTTTTTTGAGGTGGTGCGCAATTTCATTTATTTTAATTGAAGTGAGCGTGCAGCCCTTTTTGGGCCATTGCTGTGGCCATTAAGTGTGTCCGAAAACAGTTAAAACGCTCATGACGTATGTGCGCGACCAACAGATACCCTGTAAATGTATAGAGTACCCCAAGCACAGCTTAAAAGATTTTATTTAATATTTAAATGTGATATTTATTGCGTTTTGTTGGGGGAACCAGTCGGACTTTATAAATATATTTTTATTTATTTTTTATAAAAATAAAATTTCAGCCAAAGCAGATAAAGCAGGAAAATTGAAATTTTCTATATTCCCCAGCTTTTCTAGTTTCCGATCTTACTAACATTAACTAAATCGAGAGCTCAAAATCGTCTGTTACATATATGCGCAACAACATTTAAATACCCTATTTTAAACACTTCTATAGCATATAAACAGACATTTCAATTTAATTGCATTTAAATCGCAGGCCCAAAACCCGAGCCCAAACACCTTAATAGGCCATTAAGGTGCAGAGACCAGCCACCTGCCGTCCTGCAATGGCAAGCAAAAAGGTTTAGTTGCAATATGTGCTGGTAATAAACATTAAAAGTTCGTTCATTTAATTTCAAATGGCAGCTACATAAATTTCTCTAAAGGTAAATTTAATCAATTATATGACTCTCCATTGCATTATTAATAAGGCGTATAAAAAATGTGCCTAAACTGAAATTCATCCCATTCTGCCCAGCTAAGCCTCCTTTTAAAAAGCCACATATATACATTTTGCGATGTTTATATATTTAGTTTTTGCCCATGTCATAAAGCCACACCCACTCGACTGGAAACAAAGCGGCATCTCAGCGCCCATTCACGCGCTCCCCTAAAGAGTGCTCCATAATTTTCCATTAGCTTTATTATATACTCATTTGCGCAAATGTCTTATATCATTGTTATTAGTAAATCTTAGGCCTATGATTATTGCTTTCCTATGTGTGTGAGTTTCTGTGCGTGCGTGTGTGTGTGTCTTCGATAAGCTCCCTCTAAAACAGCTTCATCAGAGACTATTCCATTGGGGATATGGCGCCAGGTTGTTGAACTCTGTGCTGCTGTTTTTGGGGTCAGTTGGCAAAATACGGGGATAGTAACAAAATGAAGCCGCGAAATGATACAGCGAATGCTTCTTTAGGGGTTGCTTTGTACCCCAGCCAGTACATTGGCATTGTATTTTCTCAAAAATTAGTGGTAAAGTATTATAATAATTTTTTTATTCAAACATTTAATTTTAAAAAGAATAACAATAGAAAAAATGTATACTATCATATAATAATAAAAAATAATAATACTAATAATTATGTAATAGTTTAAAAATAAATAATGTAATATATAGTACAACGTTTCTAATTGTGTTAATGATTAATAGTATTTATTCATTAACTGCATAACAACTTAAACCTTTAATACTTAACAATCAATTAGCATAAATTCTACCCACTTGAGAGAATAATATTAAAAATTACAATTAATATTAAATGCACACTTTGATTTATTTTTTCTTAGAACTTTTAAGCCCGCGCTTAAATGAACAAATCTGTTTAGCATAGTGTTTTTAGCTTTTATGGGAGAACCAACTAAACAAAAACTTAAGTCTAGCTGCTGAGACTTGACTAATGCCCGCTTTTCAAGAGCTAGTACAATACTTTAAAGCCATTCCCATCCAGTTGGACCCAGGGTTCAGATGCAAATGTTCTGAGTTTGGGTGGCCAATTTTGTGCACAGTCATTTCGTAGGTG